CAAACTTTTGACTGGTACTGTACTATAATATACACAAAGAATATCGGCCGATATATCGATATCGGCCTTTTTTTTACTCCCAAATATCGTATCGGCCCCAAAAAACCCATATCGGTCGGGCTCTAGTTGGTATATGCTGTTATAGCCATTATCCTGTACTTTCACATCTTATTTCATAAATAATCATGGTTAACAACAGGAATCCTGGCAAGAAACCACATTAGCCATCAACCCTCTACGAACACCTTGGCAATTGAATCGCCATTGGCTAGTGATATTATTATTATTATACGAATTCTACTAATAAGAACAATATAAAAACGCACTAAGGATTAATGAACTACTGGATTCATTAATATTAATCAGGTTGTGTGTGTTCGCTCGAACTGATTTGCTGAAATCAAAACAGGGACGATAATAGGTGAGCACCAGCCAATGAGATTGCCGTTTGCGCATTAGTTCCGCCCACTACCGGAGAAAGCGGTAGTTCTTAAAAGCTGAAGAATTCCAAAGGAACTCCGTTATTTTGACAGGAAAATACAACAGAATATCGTTTACATGTAGCGTGCATAGCTAGCGCGTCAATTCTCTCTCTCCCTCTCTCGCTGCGTGTGTGTGAAACAAAGCGACAGCGAGTCGTGCGCCTTCACACTAGAGTTTACGGTACGTTAAATACAGGTGCGTTGCACATCCATTCAGATGAACTGAAAAACAGCTCAGATCGCTTGGCTGAGAGTGAAACTCTGATGCGCTCAGTCAGAGTGTTCGGCGAGTGAAAATATATCTGAGCTAAACTTATACTTAGCCTCCAACTCACACACTGGCGAGTAAAATCTGAGAATTTATTAGCAATTGGCTAATATTAGACATCATTTAATCGCCCAGAGTGAAGATTTAGTCGCATATGCGAGTGATTTACTCACAATGTAGAGGGTTGGCCATGATTCTGAGAAAATCTCCACCAATCAGAGAATCAAAAAAAACAAAAAAACACTTTACTGCCCACCTACTCCCATGAAGCACTGCGATTTATGTAGACAGTCTCTTTAAGCTTTCAAAATACTTAAATATCTGTATGCATAATATGCATATTTTGCATTGAATTATTATATATAGAAACCACACATTTTTTTCAGCATCTTTAAATCAATAGCTTTACATTTCTCCATTGTTTTTTATTTTATTATGTGCTTCATGGGATTGGGATGGGATTGTAGTTCTTTCCCTCAGTTGTCTTTGTTTATTCAAATTTCTTTGGCTTCAAATCAAAAGTTATGATAACTCAAATACTTTTTTCATCTCGATGGGAAAAATAATTACAGTACCAATGCCACTGAAAAAGTGGGTGGACACTGTTGTACTCAATATTGACATATTGGCTGTGTCTCATAAGCTATTAAATTGCCTACATAGACGTGTGCAGGCGTACATGACGCCTAACAAAGTTTTTAGGCACAGCCATTGTCCTCATAGATTACATGCACTTTACAGTCGCCTGCTGCCTGATCAGGTTCGCCATTACATGGCCCAAGCGCCAGAGACACCCGGAAACAAGTGCTCCTGAGCTCGGGCGGCTGTATGCACACCTCCCGGAAGTGGGTAGAGATACCGTAACTGGTTGCCCATGACCAAAGCATGAGTTTGCATCACGATAACACAAACAGGTAACAAAAGACGTGCGCCTTTGCCCACTAGCAAAGCACAGCAGGAGGAGGGAGTGCGTTCCCGGTCACTAACGGTGTACATGAACCCGTTGACATCAGACGGTCGTGAAATAGACGCGTTTATTTGAATTGTCACCCATTAATTCACGACATGGGACTCGGTGAGAGGCGGAACTGTCTGGCAAGGCTTTGATGAAACGTTGTAATGACTGTTACACGGTCTATACGGTTAAATAATGCTGGTTTCCAACGCAAACCGACACAAACGGGTATGTGAAACGCACGAACCTGTACCTGTGAGTCCGCGAGCCGGCTCTGCGCTATTCTACAGGTCCTCTTTCCGTTAACAAAAGGCCCGGGCCGTCTGGACAGGAAGAGCGCTACAGCAGGAGGAAGACCGGGAAGAGGAGGGGGAGCCACTGCCTTACAACAAAGCCCTCAAAACCACTCGTTACACCTCATAACGCCGAAATATAAACGCGCAATAAGCTAAAACGGTTCCGGATGAAAAGTCAGTTTCGGAATAGAGGGTTACTCACAGGTGGAGGATGCGGATGGTGACGGATTTCAGCCCCGGTTCGCAGCAGCTCCCTAGCTTTCACACCGACAACATGGCGGCTCGTTCCAAGCAGACGCGCGCGGGGTATCATGGGTAGAATGAGAAGGAGCGCGTGCGGTTCATTGCGCCAAGTGGGGAGTGTCGCCCTTTGTTGTGCTCGAGACACATACAACAATGTACAGATTTACAGAAGCCTCATAATGTGTGACATACATTCTTACACAGTGAACCAATGCCGGCGTTTGAAAATAAAGTACTGGGTTTTGTTCCCATTATGAGAGAGCAGGTGTTTAAATCTTGTTTTTACTTTATCTGTTGTTTTGGGCAGGACTCAACCCATTTAAATTCAGTTTAAAATGTGAGCACATGTACTATTTTACACCATTATAGCCAATGATCATACCTGGCCTGATTTTTTTCCGTCAGCCAATTGTGGCAGTTTTATAAAATAAGATACAATAAAATGCAGTCACAGGTGTCTGATTAATAATGAGTTAACTGTATTATATTATTAATAGTTATCAAAATAAACACCAAAAAGTTCTATTTTATATAGGCTACTTATAAGTCTACAATTTTGTAATGTGAATCAAACAACAACGGACATGTTTTCATGAATTATAATCTCAGTACCTTTAAAATAGTGTTAATATTATGAATAACAGATGGTTTAATTATTGTATGTACCACAATTTGTAGCTGCATGAGTATTTTGATATATTTCACATGCCTTTACGAGTTGCAGACTGTTAGAAAGTAAATTTTGTCACAAATGTTATTTTTTCTACAAACAAAGTTGCAAAAACACTTATTAATTACACTCATGTGAATGAAACAGCTGTTGTTCAAAATGTGATCACTGTCACGTGGTATAATCTCAATGTCTTAAGACAACGTGAATAATGTGTTAATAATAGACCCTTTAACATTTTATTATACACTGAGCAAAATTATAAACGCAACACTTTTGTTTTTGCCCCCATTTTTCATGAGCTGAACTCAAAAGATCTAAGACTTTTTCTATGTACACAAAAGGCCTATTTCTCTCAAATATTGTTCACAAATCTGTCTAAATCTGTGTTAGTGAGCACTTCTCCTTTGCCGAGATAATCCATCCACGTCACAGGTGTGGCATATCAAGATGCTGATTAGACAGCATAATTATTGCACAGGTGTGCCTTAGGCTGGCCACAATAAAAGGCCACTCTAAAATGTGCAGTTTTATCACACAGCACAATGCCACAGATGTCGCAAGTTTTGAGGGAGCGTGCAATTGGAACAAAAGTGTTGCGTTTATAATTTTGCTCAGTATATATTGTAGTTGTATGTGTATTACATTTTAAGGATTGTTATGCTTCTATTAGTGACAGCTGGCTAGGTGAATAGTGTAAAAAATATAATAAATAGCTCACCATACTTCCCCAGCTGATTATTCATATTACATTAAGATAATTGTTTTGTATTACACGTTTTCTGAAATGTTATGTTTAAATATGCACTCAAATATGCATACATTTCCAGAACAGAAATCTGAACATTAAAACCAGGTTCAAAAATTTTGTTTCATTTTGTTGACATTTTTAAAGAGGATTTTGGTCTTTTTTTATAACTCTGTAAATCAGAAAATACAGTCATGTACTAATATTCAACATGTACTGCAAATGAAATCTAGATGCAAATAAACAAAGTGTAAAACGCTTAAATGTGTATTTTGGATGTTTTCTTTCCACTAGTCTGAAGGAAGACATGTTACGAAAGCAAAATAGTCCAAAATTGATTAGTGCATAAAAAAAAAAAACAGGTTTTGCCTGTAGTGTCTTGCCTTGAAAGTAAATTTAGTCACACATTTTACCAGTGGGATCAATTAATGTTTCTTTTCTCTCTACAAACAGCTACACAAACCATGAGTTAGTCGAAAAGATGCATGTTCCTCATTATAAACGTTCTGAAATAACAGGCTGTTTGAAATGTGAGCAGCTACTTAACTGCCTTTGTGTAAAGATCAGGAGGACATTGGCTGCGAGCGAGCTATTTCAAATGACATTCAAAGAGATAAAACAGGTCTGTCCATTGTCTTCCTATCTGATTCACAGCTCTCCCTAGGGAGCACTAGTTTTATACACTTAGCCCTGTGAAAACGAGGCTTTTTATCCTCATCCATATGCATTTGAGAGAATAAAAATAGTGTTTTATTTCACACAAGCCCTCTATGGTGCATTTAGAAGTGACCAAGATAAAGAATCATCTCGAAAGAGTTTATTATGCTGAACTGTCCCACCCTTCAGGTGTGTCCCTCTCGCACCCACACTCTCTCTCACTCACTCATATAAACACAGCCTTCCTGAAACAAGTATTGTACATTAACATACATTCATTCTAAGCTTGTGTTCAAATAAACATTTATGGCTAGTCACATTATGCGTTAGGTGCATAAGTACATATCAAAACTTGTAGTCCGTGTACATCGACACAATCATGCACGCAGACACATGTGGGCCACCCAGAGGCACAACTCCTCTATCGTGAGTTTTTACATGCACAAAGTCCTACAGCATTCCCCAAATACACATCTACCCAACCTAAAACATTCATCTAACACATTACATTATAGTGTCTTATATCAGAGTATAAACCATCTTTCTCCTACACACACACACACACACACACCAGAAAGAGCTGAACGGGCAGCTCCGGATGTGTTCAAAGATTACCTGGGTCAAAGGTTGGCCACCTTGTGAATACACAAACATATACAAAGGCCTATGTGCTCTCACACACACACAGACGATTTGTTTCTGTCTTCAAGTCCTATTTAATTATGCTTGTCTCAATGAGGCTTTAAGCATCTTGTTGTGGTCCTGTCCATATGCTTGCTCTCTCTCTAGAACTCTGGCTGGTGCGGCACTATAGATTTTCTCCAATAGAGGGAGACAAAGTTCAAGAGACACAGACGTTGAAGCTGGTAGAACATTTCCCACAATGCAGAGGACTTCATCTCTCAGAGATAAGCAGCTGTTTTCCTCTGAGGGTGGGGTTTTCCTCTGGTTTCTATCCAGCCCTAAATGTATATATGTAAAAAAATATATAAATTAAAAAATGTAAAAAAATGAACAGACGCAAAAAGTGAGGTTTCAAAAGAAATGGGCAATGTTTGAAGTACTACCATACTACTCACACTATTTTTATGGTACATAGTTTGTATACTGTGGACAGTATGTAAATGTTCAACAGCAGAATGACCATATATGGCAAAATGAGCAGTATACAATAGAGCACACTACAATTAATTCTGCATCCCAAGCACTATCAGCAGCCTTCTTTAACTCTTTTCTTTACTTATAAATTATAGTCCATCTAATTGTTAAGGCATTTTTACACAAAATAAAAAAGTTAATTCATGAATGGATTAATACATTTCTTGGACACCACTTGCTGAATTAAACAAGTAATGCTATGTAACAACAACATGGCACACTACTTAAAAAAAAAAAAAGTTAATCGTTCCATAATGCATCACTTTTTATATAATGTACTGGCTGACTCATAGACAGCATATCTGAACACCTCTTTTTATTTACTTTTTTTTACATTTAATTTTATTTTTAAATTTGTATTTGTGTTATTACGTGTTGTTTTTCCTTTATTTTTATTTTTCCTACATTGTATTGAATGTAATTGGTTTGGGTTTTGTTAATTGGGGTTATAATATAGCAGAATTTATTTGTGCACTTGTTATTCGAAGTACAATATAAATAATAAAATAAATTATATAAAATAATAATTAAAAAAAACACATTTTTAAATTAAAAAAGGAAAGAAAAAGAAAGTTATAAGCTAGTTTTCGGGTGTGAACAGTATCTTTACACACTACATTTAAAAACATTTCTAGAGATTACACTATATTTAGAATTTTTAAATAAAGAGTGGTTCTGATAAGTGAGAATGCATAATTTAATGGAGCTGTTTACTTACGTATAGAGAGGCTGCAGCTGTAAGTGAGAACTCTTTTGTGGAGGCTGGTAACTATACGAGTCCAATCCACCAATGAAATCAACTGCCGCAGAGAGAGAGGACTCAAAACTCAAACACTTTAATGTCACTGTAATTTACTTTCAGGTTCTAAAAACAGACCAGAATACTTACAGCTGTCCTCATCATCCAGGAAGACTTTACTAACATAGCAAGCATAAACAAATCCAAAGAGCTGAAACGCAGAACAAACTATGTTAATAGCCAATCAGTTGTCCTATTTCTCTGCCAAACATTCAGATGCATGTACTTCTGTAAATTAAAAAAAAACAAAAAACGGAAGTAATAAAATGTAAGTACTCACTGCAAGAAACACTTGCAAGGCTGAGCTGACCACCTCTATGTATTGGTAGTCCAGCAGGCAGCCACTGACAGTGATCGCATGATGATCCTGAGGAGCCAATGGTGAGTCAGGCACTGGAGTAACTAAGCAACCAGGCCCGTTCTCCATCCACCAGGAACGATGAAGCGATGTGTTAAATGTCATTAGGAAATCTTTGTCCTACAGCAGAACACAAACAGGATTTAAAAGACAAAAATCCCCTAATCATGAACTCAGCATTGACCCTGTAATCCAAATTCTTAGTTTTTCCAAAGAAAAAATGTTTGTGTTCCTTGTGATCTTTAAATATATGAATTTAAAGATTACAAAGAAGCCCTATTATCATTATGGATCAAGTTAACGGATAAACTTCCGCTTTTCAGGATCAATACAATTCCCAATTAACAATACCAAATAAAATGCCCTTTCTCTAATAAATACCGTAGTAAAATGGTTTATGAATGCCATTTCATGTTGACTAAGATTAAAGCATAACAAGGCATAAAATCAAAAATTTAATCAGACACTTTGGTGTATTTACTTAGTGCTGTCAAATGATTAATCGCATCCAAAATAAAAGTTTTTGTTTACATAATATATGTATGTGTACTGTGTATATTTATTATGTATATATAAATACAAACACATGCATGTATATATTTAAGAAAACTATGTTGTTTATAGATTAAATATATTTATCTATAATATAAAATATAAGAATATAAATGTATATACATGCAAATATTTTCAAAATATATACTGTGTGTGTATTTATATATACATAATAAATATACACAGTACACATACATATATTATGTAAACAAAAACTTTTATTTTGGATGCAATTAATCGTTTGACAGCACTGGTATTTACACAATTACTTCTCATAGACTGGAGTCTGGACCAATGCTGTAAATCACCTACCTGTGACAGGTGACCAACTTCCAGGTAAAAACAGATGATGAAAGAGTTCCAGCCAACCCAGACCACAAGCCACACAGCATACTGAAAGTGACAGACACGCATACGAGACATGTAAAGACAATGCAAATAGCAAAACATTTTCATCTGTAGGTGCAAAATGTGAGCAAAAACAAACATGCTCTTTTGTCCTACCAGTATAAGATATTTGGAACGGATTTGCACAGTTCCAAACACTCCCAAAATGACGGCCATGATATGGAGGAAATTGGCAAGGATGGGAGCCCACTGATATCCCAAAAAGTCAAACACCTGCCTCTGTAATGCAGCGACCTGTGAACAAACCAAGAACAGTTTACATACACAACCATCCAACATTACAAAAATGCATGCATAAGTGTGCACAAAAAACTTGCCTTGTACTAATACAGATAACATATAGTCGTCGACCCTTGACCCACGTCTTTCCAGACTTCAAAATGAACTATACTGGGTTTATTTAGGCAAATATCAGGCTGGCAAAACAAGCTTGTGCAGCAGACTCCCAAGTTATATTGGCAGGAAAATGGTACACAAAGTCTGGTATTGCTGGCTACTATTCCTGGCAGAAATTGACACACGCAGCATCCATCCAAGAACGGCCCAGTACACGACTGCACATTAACCACATGCAGGAGAGATGGAAAATTCTTCAGAGAAGGATCATCAGCCACAGGGAATCTGTGCCAGAAAGCTCTGATGATTTCGTCCGTCATTGACAAAGTACTGCACATCCTCTGCCGCTCACATATGGGTTTATTCAATATTTTGGCTAATTTGATGATAGAGTCCACAGGCTCTGCTTGGCCATTGTGGTCGGTTAGTTTGGCCAAACCTCTTATGCTCGCCAAAGCCATTATTACAAGTTAAAATAACATTTTCTATTTGACTAAATCTTTAAATGTAACTAGTTCATGTGAATGCAAAGCTGAATATTTCCCAGTTTTTAACACTGATAGTAAGAAATGTTTCTTGAAGAGCAAATCAGTATATTTCAATGATTTCTGAACAATAATCTGACACTGAAGACTGGAGTAATAGCTGCTGAAAATTCAGCTTTGCCATCACAGGAATAAATTACATTTAAAAATATTTGATATAAATAATGGTTATTTTAAATAGTAATAATTTTGCACAATATTACTGTATTTTTGATTAAATTAACAACAACATTTTTTATATTCTTTTAAAAACAGTAAATTATATTCTAAAATTTTGACCAGAAGCTCACTTTAACTAGTTAAGTTCTAACTTGTTTTGACTTATTCTGAGCAGAAATCAGATTTTTATGAAGATCGCTGAGTCTGAAAAGCCTAAAAACAAGCAAAGGATTCAAACTGTCAGGCCTTACCTGTTATCACTGAATCAGCAGTACAGGTTGCAGTGGACCATTAAACCCACTTAAGCCAGTGGCAAATAAATAAAAATATTGTCTCCACACACATAGGAGCAATCCCAAAGCTCAGTGCCGCAGCTGTTTCCATGGAAACTGCCTGGAGCCCCAGCCCACAGCCCTATGAGAAAAGAGCCCCTTCCTCAGGAGGCCCCTCATCCTCACATGCCTCTAGTCGGTGTGTTACACAAATAATGCATATGCATACATATCTGGGGCATGAAGTTTCTCCAAGAAAAGTTCTGATGGGCTACTCGATTGCCCCTAAGAAATGGGAACCAGGACACCTTCTCCCTTGGCTTCACCCCTCCCAAATCAGAACCCCTGTCCTCTCACACCATCCCTCTATATGTTTGATGTTTATGTCCATGTGTTTTTTTCTTCCCCAGTAAAGACTAGATTTGAATTGAACATGAACAAAACTGTCTTACCAGCTGCAGGCAGCAGATGACCACCAGCGTGCACCTCCCGTCGCACCGACCCATGCTCTCGCGCTTGAGGCACGGCTTGGGCCCCGCGAGGCGTCGGGAGAAAGCGGAGTCCCCGGTGAGGTCCAGCGCGCTTCAGGGTCTTGCTTCACGATTACCGTTCAAAACATCAAGAAGCCCACAGGGCCGCGTGCATGCTTCGGTGCGTCGATGCTTTCGGATGGCTGCCGGTCATACCGGACCTCCTCCGCTGAATCGTCCAAACCGAAGCGTCCTAGAGCCCCGCTGCAGTTCCGAATCCTAGCGAATCTGCCACACCTTCATTCCGTACCGGGTACCAGGCGCGGACAGACCCAAAATAACACAAAGAACAGAGGAAGAGTCAGAGAGCGCGTTTAACTGGCAGAAATGAGCATCATATGACAAGCATCAGACGGAGCGCGAGCGGGGGGTGTAAGGGCGCGAGGTAAGAAAATAACGCAAATGAAATCTGGAGCGAGCACAAAGCGAGCCTTTGTGACTTACAGTGAGGTCCGGTATTCGTTTTTCCGAGCCGATGCACCGTCGGGGGTCTCAGACTGGCGCTGTTGCTTGAGCAACCATCCTCCTGCTCCGTCTCTTTGTCAACATCGGCACCGGGAGGGTGAGCACAGCGGAGCGGGGTTTGTGTGTGGAAATCAGACACCCTCGTGCGAGTCTGCAACCCGCTCGCGCAACCGCATAGAGACGCTCGCCGCCGCTCGGGCACAACACGAGGCGATTTACAGAGCACAAAGAAAACCATCATGCGGCTGTGGACACTCTTATTGCAATCTGAAAACCTTACTATTTTGAAACTAATATTGCGTCAAATTGACATGCTGACAACATGAATACCTACATTTGTAATCAGACTGGTTACTTTTTTATTGCGTATTATTCATATGCTGACATGCGGGTAAACAAGTATAATAATTTCATTAAGTTTTATCTTGATTGTTGTCATTTTTTAAATATTTATTATAATTTAACATTGAATTAGTATAGTTTAGTTTAATGCACGTGTTGTTAAAAACAATGAATGTAATATATTTTCTCTCTTTGTATTTTTAAATCAATATGGTACAAGATTATCCTATTTTAAAAAGGTGATATTAAAAAAATGTTAACAGTTCAAAAGTAAAAAGGGTCCCAATCCACATTCAAATTCTAATAGGTTTTCTGGGTTTTTATTTGAACCCTTAAAACGAAATAAAAACAGATAAATGTCAACGTAAAGAAGAAATATTTTAGGTCACTAAGCTAGGTTATGACACGGAGCATGTAAAAAAAAAAAGTCAGATGACCTTGTCATCATGCATATACTAATTATGTATGTTAAATAACTGTATATAATAATTATATAAGTGCATGTGGTTTTTATTTCTTATATCATTCTGTATAACATGATTATCAGTTTTCAGTCATCAACTGGTTAAATTTGATCCTGGACCACAAAACCTGTCATAAGGGTAAATTTTTCGAAATTGAGATTTAAACACCATCTGAAGCTGAATAAATAAGCAATTGATGCATGGTTTTTTAGGATAGGACAATATTTGGCCGAGATACAACTATTTGAAAACTGGAATCTGAGGGTGCAAAAAATCAAAATATTGAGAAAATTGCCTTTAAAGCTGTCCAAATTAAGTCCATAGCAATGTATATTACTAATCAAAAATTAAGTTTTGATATATTAACGGTAAGAAATTATAATTATAATTTTGACCCATACGATGTATTTTTGGCTATTGCTACAAATATACCTGTGCAACTTTAGACTGGTTTTGTGGCCCAGGGTCACATATACCATATTTCTTACACAAAGACAGTGCACATACTAATTCTAGAAACAAGTTTATTAAAAGCATAAAAAAGCCAACGTTCAACATTTTCCCTCAACTGTTCATCACTGTTTTCAAATCAAACACTAATGGCAAAAGTCCAAACCATATCCCCCTCTACCCATCCTCTTCTCACTCGCACATTCAGACACAGTCACATAAACAGCATTCGCACACACAAACACACAGTTATTGAATCTCTCCGATGTAGAGGCGTTTATCACTGGATCCAGAGAGAACTGTGGGAGACATAAAATAATGGAGTCATAAATGGGTAAACCGTATGGAAGGAATGTGTTACTTTTACAATTCCAGATATGCATAATAGTTTATATATATTTTTTTACCAATTGGTTCTTCTGGATGGAAAGCGACCTCATTAACAGACCCAGCATGACCCGGGAGCTTATAAAGGATCCTACGGGATGTTGTGTCCCAAATATACACAAACCTACAGCACAAACACACTGCATTAACCTCAAACATAATCATACTGTACAAACACTGCATAAACCACACAAAAATGCCCATACCTGTCAGCAGAACCAACTGCAATCTTACTCCCATCAGGAGACCAAGAGCATCTGAGAAGATTCTAAAAGAAAAAAAAAAAAAAAAAAACTTTAAATACAAAACCCTGTGAACTTCCGGCTCAGCGTCAGTAAAGTTTACTAAAAGAATGAACTGATAATTCACCCTGATTGAAAGTCTAGCCTAAAAAAAATATTTCACAGCAAACACAGTGGGAATTATTTCCCTCTTTATAAACAACTCAGGTAATCTTATTTGTAAATATACAGAGAGAACTGGGCTTACCTTCTCAAAGTTATGGACATTTCCCTGAAAGATCTTCACACACCTCTCCTTTGGTGCAAATGGACGGATATCCCAGACACGCACTGTTCCAGACAAATATAAAACATCGGTAGATGTAGTAGATGTACTTCGTTATGCACACATTAATAACAGGTACACATACAATACCATTCAAAAGTTTGGGGTCAGCAAGATTTGTTTTTTTTTTGGAAATGAATACTGAATTCAGCAAGGACACATTAAATTGATCAAAATTGACAATAAAGACATTTATAATGTTTCAAAATATTTTTATTTTAAATACATTCGGTGCTGACCTTTTGAATTTTCTATTTAATCAAAGAATCCTGAAGGAATTCTATTTAATAAAAAAATGTATCACAGTTTCCACAAACTTTTTAAGCATGGTTAAGAAATGTTTCTTGAGCACCAGTTTAGCATATTAGAATGATTTCTGAAGGATCATGTGACACTGAAGACAGGAGTAATGACTGGTGAAAATTCAGCTTTACCATCACAGGAATAAATAAAATTTTTAAATATATTAGAGAACAGTATAGAGAAATAAAATAGAGAACAGTTATTTTATATTTTAATAGTATTATTTCACAAAATTACTGTTTTACTGTATTTTTGATCAAATAAATGCAGCCTTTGTGAGCATAAGAGACTTCTTTCAAATACATGAAAAAAAAAATCATACTAACCCCAAACTTTTGATCTGTAGTGTGTACACAAATGCACGAACACACATTTAGGCTTACCGCTGTTATCCATTGAGTTAGACAGCAGGTAGGACCCGTCTGCACTGAGACTCAGACCTGTCACAGAGTCTCCATGACCCTGCATACTGTAAATCAGCTTGTTCTGTCTGAGGTCCCATACCTGCAACATGAAACACATACATACAGGAATAAATATACATACAAGCAAAAGAGCCCAGACATCAACTGCAGAGTATTTGTCGCACACAAACCTTTATGTCGTTGTCGATGCCTCCTGAGATGATCTGGTCACTGGTGTCATTGAATGTCACACTAAGAACCTGATACGTGTTCTGGAATGTGTGAACAGAGGCCTTCTTCCTAATGTCCCACAGCTACAATAACACATGAACAAAAAAGTACTGAAGACACTTTTAGACTATCTGAACATTATTAGCCTGACACACAGATGGCTTTCAAATTCTCTCATGTTATGTCTGTCTATCTATACATTTCAATCAACATTCAAATGAATAAGCAGCAACCTTAAAATGTATTTTATTTATTGGCTATATGCCTTTTCATAGGACAGTAGAGGTTTTTAGACAAAAAATGGGAATGGGTTTGGGACACGAACCAAAGTCATGAGCATCACACAAACAATTTTCCGTTTCTCTTTTAAACAATAAGGGAGTGCATTCTGACTCTGCCAGTGCTGATGATTTCCTGTTTTGTCTGCAAACTGAGCTGTAGTAATTCAAAGGTGGTGGTGGCATAATGGTTGAAAGATCTAAGCTAATATCTGGGTCAAAGGAAGGATGCAGGAAGGATACAGAATAATTGCTGAATTGCCATCAGCATACTCAACCTCTTAACAAACCCTCAGACAGCTCCATGACATTTGATGTGCTGTATGTATGTGCACTGGTCAATGTTTATATGAATAAGTCCATAATAAATCAGTTGTACCATATAAAGCGATAATTTCTGTTCAAAAGACTTGGATTAAACCACTTGATTCATATGGGTTACTTTCACCATGTCTATTTGTACTTTTTGAAGCATGAAAATTTTGGTTGCAAGGACTTTTACAAACTTTTGTCAATGTAAGTCTTATGGGTTTAGAACAACAAGCATAAGTGATGACAAAATGTTCATTTTTGGGTGAACTATCCCTTTAATATTATAGCCATGTTGCGTTTTAACACATCTAATGCTTCAGCTGCACTTCCACTATAACCTTGACCAGATTGAAAATGTAATAGAGTTTTTTTGTTTCATAAAGTCAAGACATGTCACAGACTTCTAAAGAGTTTTGAGTCTAGACTTGGTGGGCTGAATTTACCTTCACAGTTCCATCATCGCTGCCCGTACAGGCCAGCTGTGGTCCGCGCCGAGCCGGAAAACATGAGTTCACGAAGGACGTGTGACCTTTCAGACGCTTCACACGCTCCCCTGTCTCACTGTCCCACACACACACCGTCTTGTCCGTACTGGCTGAAAAGAGCAGACTGGAGGACACAAACACGCTTAGTATGTGATAGAATAATACAAGAATAATATATAAAGCTACAGTATAAAAGTTTAAAATGACAGTGTAAATGAGGCAGGAAGTTTTTAATTTTGCAATTTAGGCAAACACACCTGCCATCCGTGTTATAATGAAGCTCCATCACAGCTCCACTGTGGCCTTTAAGTGTTGCATAGTTCTCACAGTCGCCATATACATTCCACAGCACTACAAGAACACAGACATCAGACAGAACCAACAATAGCAATTCAAACACACATGCAAATCAATATTACCTACACATTAAAAAAAGAATAATATATAATAACAAAATAATAAACGTCAAGTGACTCACAGATGAGACGGTCATATCCAGAGGAGGCTAACGTGGCTCCATTGGGGTGAAATTTGCAGCAGTAAACTTCACCTTCATGACCAGAGAGCAGCATTATAGGAGCCTGCAGACTGGAGCTGCGCGGGGGGCCCTGACATTAACACAAATAGACACACACACAGATAAATGTTTATGCAGGTGCTGTTATAAATGCTCAAGGGTGATGAAGCCCCCCTAATCATGCACCCACTAACCTCTGACTGTAGATGGCAGTCTGTTTTGAAATCTAAAATCTGTTTTGAATGAATCTTTCAAGTGAATCCTTCTCGTTCATATGCACGCATTCATTGTAGTACTAGTGTCTTGTTTTGTTGTTGTTGTTGTTGTTGTTAATTGTGGGGAAAGTGTGTATAATGCTTGAACTTATAAAAGACTTGCATGAACACATTGTAATAATCAAAATATTTGTTGTTGTTAATTGTGGGGAAAGTGTGTATAATGCTTGAACTTATAAAAGACTTGCATGAACACATTGTAATAATCAAAATATTTGTTGTTGTTAATTGTGGGGAAAGTGTGTATAATGCTTGAACTTACAGAAGACTTGCATTAACACATTTTGTAATAATAAAAATAATAGGACCTGTTGTGGTTGTGAACGACCCTTTGTTTTTGAATGAATCGGTTGAAAGACTGATTAAATAAGACTTGTTTCTGTAACATTCAGTAGTATTATGTTAGATACTGAAAATATTAGAGACTCTTTAAATAAGAAAGCTGTAAAGATTTTAAATTATTATTTTTATACCCGATTGTATTCAGATTTTTGTATGAATACTTTAATTTTTGTAGTTGTTTTTCTCTTTAATCTTTGTTTACATAATAGCACAATGTTCGATATTTGAAGCAGAACAAAGGTGTATGTATAGTGTTCAAGTTTATTGAAGAATAATAATAAAACTTTAACATTACTAGTTACTACCTTGACAACGTAACCTGTAGAAAAATTCACTGAACGAATCGTCTTGGTAAATTGATTCAAAAGATTCGAGTCAGTACGAATTACTACAACATTACTACTACAACTACAGCATACAAAAGTTTGAGCAGCAGCTAGTCTTTTCCATCTAATTGGGCTCTCAGTCTTACCATAGCAGAGAGCTGCTGGGCCTGCGCTGCAGCCACCAGCTCTGTCCGGGGCCTCTTCACTCCGACGGGAACGACTGCCATCTCTGCGCCACGCTTCTTCGGTTCGATCATTGTTGTGGAAAAATACTCAAATCCCGACAATAAACGAAAAACGACCAAAACTATTATCTTCTTTTCAAATGAATGAGTTTTTCGAGCTACCAACCGCTACCGAGCTACACACGCTCGCCGAGTAAAACACATCCGGTAATACGAAGACTTCTGATTGGTTGGCTCACGCACAACGCGATCTTATTGGCTACTGTTAAATCTCTGAACCGGAAGACAATGCACTCGGTTCGTGAAAACGAGCACAGGCGAAGCGGTTTTGCCCGGAAGATGGCGGCAGGATCACGAGGAACGGAGTGGGGCGTCATGGCGAAGGAAAGAATCGTGTGAATGAAGAGAATGACGGAAGTAGCATAGAAGAAGAAGATGATTTTGCAGATTTGAATTGTGGAGAGTGGAATCAGGTAGAGCTGACATCTCAGAAACGGAAAGACAGAGGCTCAGATTCGGAAGAAATCGGGGGAGAAGGAGGAAGGAGTAAAACAATGCGGACGGAGGATGAGTACAAGGTTATGTTTACATTCGCAACAATGGGAGAAATGAGTAATCCCATGCGATTAACCAAGGTTCTCAAAAAAGCATTGGGAAACATTAAATCTGCAAAATACCTATCAAACAATCGAGTGCTTGTGTTCTGTTTGAACAAAAAGCAACAAGAGATGGCTATTAAGATAAAAGAATTGGGAGGAATAGGAGTGAAATGCAATGTGCCAGGTGAAGAGAACGGAATTAAAGGGGTGATATATGGGGTTCCATTGTCACTAACTGATGAGGTACTAAGAAATCAGATTACAGGCATAAAGGTAACAGAGGTTAAACGGTTGACATCAAATAGGAATGGGAAAAGAGAAATGAGTACAACTGTAGTGATAGGTATGAATGAGAAAATTCTACCAGTAAATGTTAAAATCGGATTCATGAGCTACCCTGTGCGCCCTTACATAAAGCCTGCATTGAGATGCTTCAATTGTCAACGGTTAGGACATGTGGCAGAAGTATGTAAAGGAAAGAAAAGATGTTGCAAATGTGGAGGGGAACATGACTATGGAGAATGTGGAGATATAGTTGGACCTAAATGTTGTAATTGTGGAGGCTCTCATAGTGCTGCATATCTTGGGTGTATAGCACAAAAACAAGCAATGGAAGCAATGAAGTATAAATCAGTTCACAATGTATCTTATGCACAAGCAGTGAAGAAAATCCAAAATGATCAAGGAAACAAAATAACTGATGGAAACATCAATGAACGGGAAATTACAAGCAAAGGGACAGACAGGAATATAAATAAGGAAGATGCAAATGTGCTTATAGTCAGTAAAGCCCGCCATAAAACCAAAAGAAGAAGAAGAAGAAGACAACGCACTCACGGAACTCTTGCTTCATCCAAACAAGGGGAACGTACTGCTCTAAATGTATTTACGTTTTGCGTTGGGATGTTTTGTAGCGTCTTAAATAGTAACGACGCTCTCAGTATTTACATTTGACCTTTTTTATTGGATAATGATTTTTGTAATTGAAACTGCGATAATTTAGCACGTGCATATTGCAGTCCTCTTATAGATTTTTTTCAAATTACAGTAAACTGTCCTAGACCTGATCCCATCGGGTAAGTTCATTGATCTTGGCATATTCTCATCAGGCATGAGTTGCATGAACACTAATGATGGCATGTTTAGATGCAGTGGTCAGACTGGATTTGTTTTATGCTCCAGTTAAAGAACCAGTTACAGACAGATGGCAAACCATACGTGTACCTCTCTGCAGGTGTAATGGCAGAGGAGGGGATGAGAGAGCCAGCTGGTCTGGATGGACTGCCACCAATGTACAGCATTCTGAAGGGAGAGGTTAGATTTAAATTCCTATATGCAGAATATAAAATCATATAATATGTCATCTTACTGATTTAATCACCCTCTTGTTTTCTTATTTACTTAGGTAGTTTCTGTTACAACATATGGTGCTTTTGTTAAGATTCCAGGATACAAAAAACAAGGTAAAGTTGGAGAGTTATCAAGATGTTGTTGTTTAAAGGAAGATGAATACACACATATTTTTATGTTTATTTGTGTTTGCATCATCAGGTCTGGTTCATAAGAGTGAGATGTCGTCCTGTCGGGTGGATAACCCAGCTGAAATTGTTGATGTAGGGGAACAAGTGTGGATAAAAGTCATTGGCAGAGAGGTACATTCAATTTGCATGTACGCAAATACAACAATAAAAATGTTGTTTTATACCATTACCAACATATTATCATTGCACTAAAAGTGAAATTTATGCACTGATTAAACATTGGTTTAGTGTTCTTCTAATTCAGATTCAGGATTTTAATCATGCTTTTTGATTTCCATCCACTAACAGATGAAAGATGATAAAGTAAAACTGTCATTCTCTATGAAATCTGTCAATCAAGACACTGGGCGGGACCTAGACCCCAACAATGTTATAGCAGAGTAAGTGGTTTTATGGTGCATGAGTGCAACCAAATGAGCAAACCAAACCCTGTACTCATAAGAGGCTGTCTAAGGTAATTCATAACCATACCAAATTGTGCATAAATAAATATTCACACAGACAGGACGAACGTCGCAGGAGACAGTTTAGAGATCATACTGGGCAGAAGATCACGCTGGAGGCTGTGCTCAACACCACATGCAAAAAGTGTGGCTGCAGAGGTATGATCCTCCAGGTTATGTCAATCTGACCCAGTTCCAGTGTACATTAGACCCTTGCCTTGTCCCTATTACAGACATTACTCCAGTGCCACATCGCCCTTCAGAAATCATTCTACTATGCTGATTTGGTGCTCAAGAAATATTTCTTAATACTATTAATGTTGAAAAGTTGTATTGCTTAATACTTTTGTGGAAATTGTGATACATTGAATGTCAGTTTTAGATCTCATGTTCATTGTCTTTACTTGCAGATTGTACTGTTAATCCCTGAGCACCTGTTATGACAGTGTTTATGTCATAATGATCTGTATGTCTGTTTGTATGCAAGGTCACTTTGCAAAGGACTGCTTCTCCCAGCCTGGACTGCAGTACAGTTTAGTGCCAGAAGAAGAAGAGGAGGAGCAGCAGCCGCCACAGACCAGTCAGCAAACCCAATCAGAGCCCCAGAAACGTAAAAAGGTACAGACACACCCCTTTGACAGCAAAAGTATTGTGCCAGATGACATGCTGCCTGCAAGCGGTTGTGTAACCCTGCCCGTTTTACTTGTTGCCAACTTCTGCAATAGTTCCCTATTGCAGACGTCTTGATCTGCCTTTCATTTGCAAGCTCATGACGCCTCTTTGCATTTTTCCTGCAGGAAAAGAAGGCAAAGAAAGAAAAGAAGAAGAAAGAGAAGAAAAGAGACAGCTCTTCATCCGATAGCAGCGATGAAGATGCCAAACAGCCACGGCATTCACACACACATTCAGAAAAGAAGAAAAAACACAAGAAGCACAAACATAAGACAAAGTGATTCTTTTGGTTTGCAAAACAGTTGCGATATGCAAGTACAAGCTTGTGCAAGAACTGTTTTTTTTTTTTGCATCTATATCAAGATTAAATGTATCTGATCGATTTTGGAATGTATTTTTTTGTTAATATTACAAGTTTGACCATTAAAAGTGACTGGATTCATGTGTGAAGGTTAAAAGGTTCACTGCGCAACCTCCGAATGGCCTTTCACCCAGAAACACACAGACACAAGGCCCAGTCGCTTGATTTAGAACACATGCACGTCACCCAGCAGACACTGGAACACGCTTAAATTAGAAGGACCTCACGGAAATATAACAGTGTGTAACACATGGCACAGCACTGGAGCACTTGATGGAAATGTTGACAATAAATTGCACAAGGTCAGTTTGGAGCAAATGTCATTTATTGTACACCAAAGGCATAAGCCATAACACTGACTGGAGAAGCATATCACACGCCCAGAATACAAGCTCAAATACGGATCTGGAGCTATGAAGTTGGAATTTTATTCAGCGTTTGAGGAACGGTGCAAATGAAACGGATGAACACCACAGAAAAACCACTGGAAATGTACATAACCATTGATGAGGACGGGTTGTGACTGAGGTTTCCCTTTATTCTGCCTTTAAATAGTGTCGTGTGGAGACAACGTCGCCAAGTGTCAATGTCTGTTGATAAAAGAGAGAGGTTGGCCTGTTGATATATATTCATTCAGTCAAACACCCATAAATATTGGCATAAGTAATTACTAAATGGGCAGCAGAACATGTTTAGCTCTTGCTGACTGTTCTTATAATTTTGTTCCCAGCCAAAGAGGCACTTACTGTAAGTGCACACAATACTAACCAGAGTTAGGCTGTTGTCATTGACTTCTCGGAGCAGGCTCGTCTCTTTACCATCCCATTTCTGAACATGAACCAATTTGCCTCCGTCTAAAGTTACCATGGACTGATGGACAAACAGAAACAACAGGGTAAAGGTAATAAGACAAACAGTTCTTACTTGGTCTCATTTTTTTCTCTTGCTACCCGGGAGCAGCGATGAGTGTCGTTTCTATGTTCACAATTAATGATTGACCCGAGGAATGTCACGGGATAGGTCAGTCTCCCATTGGGCCTTCTAAGAAACCCTTGTATCCCACCAACAAAACCCTATTGTGTTCAACACCTTTCACCCAATTCACAATGTGTCAGGCATGAAATTCTGCATGCCTTTAGCAATCTCAAAGCACAGGACTACTGAAAGTGGGACTAATGTATGCTCTGTGCACATATTACCTTAACTTTGCGGTCATCTGCAGTGGTCTCATCAAATTCCTCTCCCAGTTTGAAATTGATTTCTGTGGTTTTGAATGTGCTGACAGTCTTAAGTGTGATGACATCGCCCTCCATGGAGATGATGGTCGTGGGTTTGGTCATACTGCCAACCTGACGCGTGGCAAAGCCCACGCCTGATAAATAAACATAACACACACTTTAGAAGAGGTATGAAGCCATTTCTACTATTCACATGCAGAAGAATTCACATGGACAACATCAAGAACCAAAGACAATTTGGTGTGTACTGTAAATTAGTTAAAAATGATATTAAGTATATTAAATCATATATAAAATATTTACATTTTACAAATGTTAAACATTTCCGAGGGGCTTAATAAAAAAAATTTAAAAAAAACGAAATATTTTGAAGAGCCAAAGTTACTTTTAAAAGTTGGTCATATACTCTAAATAAGC